GCCCCGCAGCTGAGCGGCAGCCTGATGAGCCTGTACAGCGAGGGCGAGCTGGGCAGCGTGGCTGTGGGGGGGTGCGTCCAGTTCTCCCTCCGATACGACCCGGCCAAGAAGGAGCTGCAGGTCCACGTGCTGCGGTGCCGCGAGCTGGCTGAGGCCAAGAAGCAGCGGTCGGACCCGTGAGTGCCCCGGCCCTCTGTGGCGATGCCTTGGTGATGCCTACAGTGGTACCCATTGCATCCACCTCATTTTTTGGCTCCAGGTACATCAAGACGTACCTGCTGCCCGATAAGTCCAACCGCAGCAAGCGCAAGACCACGGTGCGGAAGAGGAGCTTGGATCCGATCTTCAATGAGACCCTCAAGGTTTGGTGAGGCTGGGGACCCCCTGCTCAGCAGCACCCTTGGGGACAGTGTGAAGCCCCCAAGAGCAGCCAGCCTGGGGTCCGTCCCCCTTGGGGACATAGCAGCCAGGCTGGGGGTCCCCGTTCCCATGGGGATGGGGGCACCTACGCAGCCTGGTCAGGGTGAAGCCCCGCAGTGGGTGACACCAGCATCGAGGGTCCCAAGACGGTGGCTGGTGTCCCCAGGGCCAGTCACGGTGGCTCCATCAGCCGCTTGGGATGGGTGATGGGGACAGTGGCACCGGGGTCGATGGCAGCACCAGGATGGGGGCGAGCCAACACCACCCTCCCGCCCCCAGCAAGCTCCGCAAGTTGGTATCGGACCCAGTGCAGCTGAGGACCCTCACTGGGGACTGGTTCTGCGACGCCCGTGCCCAGCGCCACTGGGATCACCTGGGCTCTGACCTCGTCCGTGCCTCCATCCGCCGCAGGAGGCGGCCCCGGGGTAGGCAGGGATGGGGATGTGGGGGGACAGCAGGGACCCCTCAGCCCGCTGAGGTCCTCAATGTCCCCAGGAGTGGGGGACCCGGAGTGTGGCCCAAGCCTGGGTGAACTGGAGGCCATCAGTGAGCCACTGGCAGAGGAGAAGGAGGATGAGGATGGTGTGGCGGAGCCAGAGGAGAGGTGAGGGGGGCTGTGGAGGGGCTCCTGCCCCATGGGTGCCCCAGGGCTGTTGGCATCTCTTATCGGTACCCGCAGGGGTGGCAGGGCCCCGGGATGCCCCGTGGGAGCTAGAGGTGGGGACGTGGGAGGAGAGCCCATGGTGGAGGGGATGGCACAGCCAGAGCTGCACCGTCCTGATGTCTGTCCACAGTCTTGGTGTCTGTCTGTCTGCCACCCAGGGGGTTTTCTGCAGCCCTGCTGGATCCCAGCTCTATAAATAGCTGCAGGAATGTGGGGGGGGGCAGAAAGTGCTTGTTAGTGTGATGCCCTGTCGAGAGAAACTAATTGTCATCTCTTCTCACAGGCCCCCTACGGAGGAGGCGCAGGCGGCTGCAGAGCCCCAGGTCGGTGCCTGGTAGCAGGGTTGAGCCGGCACAGCAGAGCCTGCAGCCGGTACCTGATGCCTTGGTGATGGGCTTGGTCAGTGGGGGAGCACCCCACAGCCTGGACCCCCCACAAGCTGCCGTGGCCCCGGAGCTGCGGTGCCACCCGAGGAGGGTGCTGCTGACAGGGCCAGCCTCGTGCATGGTCTTGCAAAGGATGATCCTGAACCCCGCGGTGTGGGGAGCAATGGGGGGTGTCCCACGGGGTCTCCCCCACCCTGTCCCCAGGGACCCAGAGGGGCTGGACCGAGGGGAGCAGGCGGGAGAGAGGAGGGTGCTCGCGGTGCCTGTTTTTACCCTTTTCCCTATGTGCCACCTCACAGCCCAGCCCCATGGCCCTGGCTCTGGAGGGGACCCTGGTGTCACAGCCCCTGCCACAGGGTGACGTCCCGGCAAGGGAGCAGGATGTCCCAGCCCAGCCAGGTAACCATGGTGGGGGGTCAGTGCTGTTGAGATTTGGGGGGCTGGAGCCCCCCCAGTGCTGCTTACCAGCCTCCTACCTCCTCCTGGCCCCCCATTATGGCCCCCCCATCCCTTGCTTGACTGCTTGCTCCTCTTGCCAAAAAAAAAGGGGGACACCATCCATCCCTGCAGCATCGGGACCCCCCACCCACACTGTGCCCTTGCAGGTGACACGGTAGGTGGGAACCCCTTTGGCACATCCAGCGCGGAGGAAGATGAGGAGGA